GTAAAGGGTCACTGTTAATAAAATACCTGTTATGGCAGAGGGATGCACAGTGCAGGGATTCTTAACCAGAAGTCCACAGTTAGGCTTCAACGCTGAAAATGTATGTGCACTTATATGTGTGCGCACATGCACACACACACGGATCATGTTTTCATAAGAAGGAAATACGAATTCTATTAGATGTACTTTTTTTTTTGAGACAGAGTCTCTCTATGTTGCCCTCAGTAGAGTGCCATGGCATCACAGCTCACAGCAACCTCAAACTCTTGGGCTTAAGCGATTCTTTGCCTCAGCCTCCCAAGTAGCTGGAACTACAGGTGCCTGCCACAATGCCGCGCCATGTTAGATGTACTTTAAAAAAAATAGTTTTAGAGTAGCGCCTGTGGCTCAGTGGGTAGGGTGCTGGCCTCATATACTAAGGGTGGTGTGTTTGAGCCTGGCCCTGGCCAAATTGCAACAAAAAAATAGCTGGGTATTGTGGTGGGCGCCTGTGGTCCCAGCTACTCAGGAGACTGAGGCAAGAGACTCACCTAAACCCAGGAGTTGAAGGTTGCTGTGAGCTGTGTGGCACTACGGCACTCTACCAAGGGCAACAAAGTAAGACTCTGTCTCTACAAAAAAAAAAAAAAAAAAGAAAGAAAAGAAAAAATATATATTTTTAAAGTATTATTTAAAAACTGGGCATTTTTATTTTTTATTAGGAACAGTGTTTGAGGTTTTGTATTTGGGGAATGATGCTGGTTTGGATTATAATGGCAACTTATTTCATATATGTCTATGATGAATATAAAGGATTGTTATCAATAACGTTAACATGTACTGGTCAGTTGTACTATGCGCCAGGCACTGTTACAAGTGTGGTTCTAAGTACCACGTAGTGCATTTAATCATTATAGTCTCGAGAGGTGAGTTTTATGACAATCCTCAGTTTGCAGATGAGGAAACCAAGGCACAGAAAAGTTAGATGACTTGCCCAGGGTCGCATATTTAGTCAATGGCAGAGCCAACACTCAAATCCAGTCAGTTTAATACCAACATCTGGTGTTCTTAATTGCTATCCTGTACTACTTAAAACATGCTTTGAAAAATATCAGACACATATAGATATGTTAGTACACCTTTCTTTCCTAAATGTAAGCAGGGAGTTCTATAGCAAGCAATGCCTGACAGAAGAGAGCATTATGGTCTTCAGGTGGAAACAAGCTTATATAATTTTGAAATATCTTTCAACCAACAATAATACTGATTTGTATAACAGAGAAAACAAAGTTTACATCTGTATTTTGTATTATAATTTTTTTAGCTTAAGGTGAAACTTCCGTTTCTTTCTTTTTTTTTGCAGTTTTTGGCCAGGGCTGGGGTTGAACCTGCCATTTCCGGCAAAGGGAGCCAGCACCTTACTCCCTTGAGCCACAGGCGCTGCCCTCAAACTTCTGTTTCTGAGAGAAAAATAACTCATTGGTACCATATACTGAGGCCCCATGTTATGTAATATGGGGCCTTTGTTAATTTTTTTTTTTTTTTTTTTT